GACTTTCACAATGCCGATATAAGAAGATTTTGAATGTATTTTATCTCACTGAAATATAATGTTAGAATACTGCTCCTGGTGATTTGCAAAACAGTGTAATGGAAATAAAAATTAAAAAAAATTGGCCAGACAGATACTCAAATTTCTACATTTCTCTTCTAATTGCCCTCTTACAGACTTAAAAGACATTTGAAGAATGAATTTGGTTGTAGAGTAAAAATATTTAAAATTTATTTTCATCTGGGTCCTGTTTCATAAAATTTGCTCTCAGCCAATCTAATGCCACGATTTCAGTAGCTGATAACGTTATTGTATTTCTTTCTTGTTAACAAGTTTCATGAAAACAGGGCCCTGATCCATTACCCTTACATATGCACAGAGTCAAACATTAGACAAATAATAATAATAATAATGGGTTCTTGTATAGCGCTCATGTCAGTCAGAGTTGACCCTCCTGGCGCTCCCGATTATTACCCTGGCTTTAGCATGATATTCAACTCACACAATGAAGAATCCATTATAGATGTATCCTTATTCTTTCATTTGTAAGTCTACCTTTCATCATTGAACATCTATAATATCAATCCCTCTTACCTCCAACACTAACTCTAGTAACTAGAGTTGACATAGCTTCTCCAATACGATTAGCAGCTGAAAATATGTCTCCACTCCCTCGTCTGCTTCCTCCTTATGAAAACAATATAACACACATCACAAAATAAGGCCTAAAAAAAGATGTTGTATTGCCCTTTGCAACAGACCCCAAAATCTTGAAATCTACGGTCAGCTTTTTAAAAAAGTTTTTTTTTTACCGTTTTTTAGAAAAAATGTATTAAAGCATTCAAAACTGAGAAATATCAGCCCAAAGAAGGAGAGGGAAAAAAAAATAAAGTTAAAAAAAGAAAAAGATTTCTGACCGACCGACCCATGTTTTGGCACCTACATGTAAAGGGCAATACAACATTTCTTTTTTTAGGCCTAACACATGTACACAACATTCAATGAAATATGTCGTATTATTTTATGATTGTCATTTTCATGTGCATTGACCATTATACTGATTGGTTTTTCAGGTCTAAATCAGTCATTTTTAGTTCAGACTTTCATGACTACAGTTTTGGGTTTTATCCTTCTTTTTTCTCTTCGTGGACAGGAATATTTCAAAATTAGTTATTCTACTGAAGTTCAGATCAATTAATAAAGACACAAATAGCTTTCCTGTGTTTACTATTGCATATCTCAAGCTGTCATAATACCTGTCACCTATTTTCAATTTATTGTGGCTAAGGTTTATGAATATCCATGTGATTTGTAAACAAACAGTCGACTTCTAAAAAGTGTTTCCATGATGCTCTGGGGAAATTAAGAAGTGTTTATTTTCCCAAATAGCCAACTCGTTGAATCGAAAAGTGATAAGGCTGATTGTGTAAAGTACATACTTGATCTCCTTGGTCTTGCTTGAAGGAGTTCTTCCATTGTTACTACAGGCACATCAGGTTCATCTGAGTTTGAGACAAAACAATGAAAAATAGTTTTAACCCTACTACATACCAGTTTAGAGATAACACATTTTCCCAAAAGACCCCCAAATGTCCACTCAAATTTTTATAATAATTTCATGTATTAATGAAAATGTACTGAGTGCTCCATGAATATATTTTTATTCCCACTTCGAAAAGAATATATACACTTTTTGAAAAGGATAAATCAATCAATATAATGGAATGCACTGTTTGAGCATAGATGAGTTGTCTTCTCATGCAAAGATTGTATCTACGACTTGGCTTATTGCCCGGTAATCCTATCTCTACATTGTCTTTTTGACATTTTTTTATTGTTTTGGTTATCATTTTGATCTCATTTTACCTGGCATAAATATTTTCATAGATGCTAATGGCTTTCCATAATTTTTAAGTCCAACATAGAGATAAGTTCAACTTAGGATCTTTGTGAAACACCCCCCTGGATACTTACCTGGAAGAGGAGGAGGAGAGGGGCTCTCGTGAAGCGGGAAGGCATCGGTCATTCTCTGAATCAGCTCATCCAGTTCAGCCTCCTCTGAGGGGTAAGCCATGGATACACCTGTAGTAGGAAAGTGAACTGTGGATTGATCATTGATGTGAGGCAGGAAACGATCAAGATCCAATACACTCTCCAAGGCACGTGACTTGTCCATTTGAAATCTAGATGCAGCATGTGATTGGTCAGTTTGAAATCTAGATGCATGTGATTGGTCAGTTTGAAATCTAGATGCATGTGATTGGTCAGTGTGAAGCCCAGATGGATGTGATTGGTCGATTTGGAATCCTACATGATGGGACTGCTCAAGGTGAGAGGGATGCTGGCTGTTGAATGGAATGTCCGCAGAATGCAACTGACCGGTCTGATTTCCCAGCAGGAGTAACTGGCTATTCTCATGGTGCTGGTTGATAGTACCGGTACTCATAGATGGATGTAACAAACGATGTGCACCAACTCCACCAACGTGATGCACAGGTGATGCGTTAGTCTGCTGACCATACAAATTATGTGCACCATCTCCACTATCCTGATACGCAACTGATGCTGAAGTTTGTGGACCGTGAGCATACACTGGTGAAGCTAAGGCAGAAGGATCCATATTGTGGTGGTAAGATGGAGCCGGTGGCAGATTTTGAATGCTACCAGTCTGAACGTTCGATAAAGGACCAGCCATTGATCGATGCTGACCGAGTCCTCCACTTCGATTGCCCTGACCATAATCATTAACAAGCACCGGTTGACCCATACCATCTACCCCGAATGAAGACACCTGATCGGTATAGAGGGGTGGATGACCACGCCTTGGGTCACCACGCCCATCTGGGTAGTCCTTCCCCATCATGACAAAACGTGGTCTCACAGCCGAAGCACCGGACGACCCAGAGGAGTGGTCAGCTATGGTGTCCAGGGCAGGGTGTGATTGTCCGTAGGGGGGCAGTCGTTCACCTGTCCTGTCATAGCCACTACTGGCCTGGTATCCAGAACTACGGTTAGACACTTGGTTCATAGACCCTCCATGGTGGAATGTTGTGTTGCCTGGTGGAAATGAAGGGCTGTGCTTGAGAGATTCATAATTAGCAGATCCCAAGGAGTGATCAGTCCTTCCTTGGCTTGTCTCCTTCTGTTCATGCCAAGGATAAAAGATGATTTCAAAAATTTAAAACAGCCTGTGAGACTTTGGTTAAATATTCATAGTAATCTTAGAAAACAAGTGTGAATCAAGGACCCTAGTTGTCATGTTTGTCTACAATTTGTGTAAGTAACTAATCGCCTATGCCCTCATGGTGACCATATATCGTAGAAATACTCCCCAGGGAGTGGAGATGGTGCACATTGTGCATGAATGAATCTGATGACCAGGGTAATAATATCTGTAAAGCGCTTAGAGACATTATTCTGTATTAAATGCTATATAAGTCCAGATTAAAATAATTATCATGTATGGTCAAATAATCTATCGCTCTAATGTTAAGGACCGAGCCCAAGAGGGATTTTTTGATGAATATGGTAATAGTGAAGAATGACAATTTAGCCTCCCAGCCTCCCCATAAACTTCTCTACACAGCAAACAATATTCTTGAAGCTAACTTGCTGAACATTTCATTTCCTTAATGGTTGCTTTCCATGCTTTCCTGTCTGTGGGATCCATATGACTGATACCCAATGTTTTGGCATCTTCTTCTATGGTTTCCCTTTAAGTTTTCCTCGGTCTTCCGCAGGGTCTTCTTCCGGTGACCAGAAAGTTTAGAGCCCTCTGGAGCCAGTGTGTTGCCTCTGTTCTTGCCACATGTCCAAACCATGTACGTCTATTCATCCAAAATCCAGACTTTTTAAAGTTTTTTTTACATACGGCTCATGAAAACAGACTGAAAAAGTTTAAGTTGGACCCCTTCCGAAAAGGTTAGTGTGAAGCCCCGCTTACCCTAATCATGGCTCTGAAGTTTCTTAGCTGCTCCTCCAACCTCTTGTTATGTTCCTCAAGGACTTCATAGCGAGCAAAGACTTCATTTCGCTGCTCCACCAGCTTAGTCCTGTCATGTTGGGATGGTTCACGCTGCCTCGGTTCAGAGTCTGTCTCAGACGATGAGCTGGTGTCTTGGACATGTAGGCCACATCGCTCTAGATCATCCATCAGATCACTTTGAGAAGTGATAATAGAGGGAACAGGGAGAGAAGATGAATTTAGCCATTTAGCAATTTTAGCAAAATTTTTTGATACACCTCAGATAGTGGCATTAGTTAAAACTTAATGCAAATAACAATAATAATAATAACAATTGGATTTATATAGTGCCTTTTCCAAAGGATACAAGGCGCTGTCTCTTAGACTATCAACAATTTAAGAGAACTTGGAGTTGTACAGGTATGTTTTCAGTTATTTTTTGAAGAAATCTAGTGAAGTACTGTTTCTTAAGAGCGATTGAGAGGAGTTTGTTCCAGAGACGTGGGGCTAAGGACTGAAAGGATTTGAAACCAGCCTACATGTTTACGGGATTTGGGAATGACAAAGGTAGGAGCTAATAAAGACCGAAGAGAATATGATGGCACCTTTTTTATCTAATAATTACTTATTTGCAATTTTAGTATTCATAATTACACAAGCTGTGACCATCTAGATATAGGCAATTAGCCAAAATATCCTATAGTTTCTTTCAACAATGAAAAATTAAATATTGTAAATTGTGTGCGAGTAAAAAATAGAGCATTCTGCATACCTGAGTGTGTGCGGCCATCATTTGTGAGTTCAAGCATAAGCAATTTAATATAAATTTTTTTTTTAGATGAACTAAAAAATCAACCTTAAACAAACACACTTTTTTGCTCTTTAACTTGATTACCTGTAAGAATATTGACAAATCTTCTAGCAAACAGTCGTTGAACAAAATCATCTCCATGTCATGAAAATTTCTTCACTGTATCACAGAAATGTAATTCAATTTTACGTCATGTATATTTTCTGGCTCTTAATTCTCATGAAATTAAGACTTGTCTACATACTCGTTCTCTTTCTCCAGTTGATCTATGAGATCCTCCAGCTCTCTCCTCTCTTGGTATCTGCTCTCATCTGTGGTTGCCGTGCCGATTGATTGCCTAGTCGACTTGATAGAGGGAGGCAGACTATCGGAACGATTCAACCCGGGAGGTTGCTGAGTTTCTACCGCTTTTAGTCTGTTAAAAAAAGATTACAATAATGATAGTACAGTCAAGCCTGCTTTAGTGACCACCTGTATAAAAAGACCACATTTTGTTTGTTTCCCTTGAACCGGTTTCTCATTAAAACATTCAATAAAGAAAACTGTTTATAAAGACCACATTTCTTGTCTCCCTTGAGTGGTCTTTATAGACAGGTTTCACTGTAATAATAATGATACAGAGTATTTTAAAACGTGCCAACTTCGTATAACTAATGTATTCAAGGCATAAGGATGAATATCACTAAGTCAGATGAGCACCACAATAGAATTTTCATTAAACATAATCAATTCGGTATCACAACAGCCCGACATCTCTACATCAATGAGTAAAATTAAACCACTTAATTTTAATTTTATGTATTGACATTTTAAATGATCTGTTCATTCACTTTAAAGAAATAACCTCAAATATTTCCTTCACTGTATATGATATTTTTTAATTGAAAGTACAGATAATATTACAGATTTTCAAGCGAGAGGTCTGAGAGCATCCTTCTGATGTGGTTTTGAACACCAAACCTCTCAATTGAAGCTAGAGTATGAAGCACTCAACCACAGTGCTTCATTCAGAATTATAGAGGTGTTGTGGTCGAGTGGGATACGTCGCTGGACTGTCGATCACAAGGTCCGCGGTTCGAGTCCCGCCGCCGCACTAATGTCCTTTGGCAAGACATTGATCTATATTTGCCACACTCCACCCAGGTGAAGTAAATGGGTACCTGGTAGGAATTTATTCCTTGAAACGCTAGGGCGCCGTATGGCAGCTGTGCTAATTAGCCAGGGTAATAATCAGGAGCGCCAGGAGGGTCAAATCTGACTGACATGAGCGCTATACAAGAACCCATTATTATTATTATTATTATTTCTCTCTTCTCACCTCTCTGACATCTGACTGAGCCTAACGTGAGTCTCCAATTCAGCATCTTGATTATCACTATATACAAAGATAAAACAACAAATAGATCAATCTCTCATATCCCTCTGCCTATATCAAATTCATAGTTAAAGCTACTATAACTGTTACCTTGATATGGTTTAGAAAGCAGCAAAATTATTTTCAATCTGTCTTGCTATGGGAGGCCCCCCCCCCCTCGAAATTTTCGGAGATTGCGCTGCAACCATTTGGAATTTTGAATTGTCGTTTCATGACTTTTTTCCCTCAAGTCTTACGCACATTTTGATACCATTTTCGTTGAAATCGGATATACCTGTAAGGCGTTACATAACAATTAGTATGCGCATGTCATCAAAAAAACAAAAACAAAAACATGAACATAGTACACATACAATAAAACTTATTAAAAGCTCATCATGCTTTAATTTTCCCCTGAATTTGTTATTCATTGATACCGCTTGCTAGATTCAACCTTATACAAAGCCAGATAATATAACTGCTTTTAACTCATCTAATTTCAAGATATTTTCATAATTTTACCTTGCTCTGTCATCGGAATCATAACCATCCTCTATTGAGCGATATTTCTTCTTGATACGGCGGCCATGTTTCTTACTCAAGTTGTTGCGCACAGTCTTTGTAAAGGCACGGACATCCTCCTTTGATTTACTCTGTGCAGGGAAAAGAAAAGTAAATAAAGGCAAGAATATTAATGGTAGTGAAGTATACAGACAGCTCCAACAGGAAAACAGTGTTCTCCTTTTTTTTTTGGGGGGGGGGGTAAAAATATGCCAAAAGGTGCCCCAAGAAATTGTTTCAGACCACTGTTTATATATGCATTTCAGAACAAACATTTTGCCTGAAATATTCCTTGTTTTCTTGCTTTGTTTACATTTGAATTCAAATAAATAACCAATTCAACTACTTTCTCTAGAATATCAAATGTTACATAATTTCTTAAGTTATCAAATGTTCCTTCAATTACCACAATGTAGCTACTATCAATCATCTAACATCAACTCTTTTCTGCCATGCACTGAAGCTTGGGTCGACATGTCGTTTGTCCCTGCAATTCTCTGTTATTACACGATGGACAGTAGACCAACTTATTTAGAATAAAAACAACTTGGTATCCACAAAAAAACAATTACACAGAAATAAATCTATATGCCAAAAGGCACATTTATATCGTGGTTTACAAAATATTTCTCTGCAAAAAAAGTGGTCCATTATTATCTGATTCAAATTAAAACTAATGTGTATTTATATATATATATATATATATATATATATATAAGAAAATTCCCCCTTTAATTTGTTGGTTTATTCAGTGTATTACTGCACTCTGTCGAACACCTTTCCTTTCATTTGCAACAATACCAAAAGTGCAGCGCTTTACTTTATATAGGCCTTTCATGTTATGTGAGAGGGTATAATAGAAAAAAATCCCCCAATTAAGTCATGTCCTGACTGGCCAAGTTCTTTGATTATTCCTTTATTTACTGATTTCAATTGGACAGGAAGTTCATTAATTTGACATCCTGACTTTTATTGTGTTTATTAAAATAAAGCCTTTACTGTAGCTAGGCCTACATACATCCACCATTTTATGTGTACAATATAATGTATGCGCACTCTACATGACATGTGTTGGTAATTATACCAAGAGTAGACTTATAAGCAGCCACATGTTGACTGGAACATGAATTTTAAAGCCCATCTGCACCAGGAGGGAATAGACATCCATGCAAGGTCACTAACAGGTGGTTATCTTATCAAATCAGCTCTCAATTAACATAAGAATATGAGGATCATGGGGGACCAATAGTCACTGCTTATACATTGTTTGCTATATAGAGGGCGCAAGTAGCTATAAGTAGTGCAGTGGGGCTTTAAGTTAATATCACAAAATGCCTTTAAAATATCTGATTTCTTTTTATCCATCGTAACATTTGCCTTTTAAAAAATGTATTTATATAATATTATTCATGACTGTAAGACTTAATTTAGAATTACCGAGAGGCAGTACTCCTGCATAGGATGACTCTGCTTGTGATGTTTGGATGACCTACGGGTGAAGAAGCAATTCTGGCAGAGGTCAAAGTTGAAACACTTGAGGCACTGGTAGCGTAGTCCTATGACGGGATGCATCTTACAAACGGAACACTTGACCTCATGCTTCACTGTGAGGTAGATGGAGACAGAGAGAGAGGGGGAGATATATATATATAGAGAGAGAGAGAGAGAGGGAGGGAGAGAGAGAGAGAGGGGGAGATAGAGAGAGAGTGAGAGAGAGAGGGGGAGAGAGGGAAGAGAGAGGGGGAACAGAGAGTGGGGGAGCAAGGAGAGAGAGAGAGAGAGAGAGAGAGGGAGGGAGAGAGAGAAAGAGAGAGAGAAAGAGAGAGAGGGGAGTGAGAGAGAGAGAGAGGGGAGCAAGGAGAGAAAAGAGAGACAAGAGAGACAAGAAGAGAAGAAGTAGAGCAGAGGGATAGAAAAACATAGAGAGAGACAGAAATAGAGGAACGAATAGTAAGACAGAGGCAAACAGACAGACAAAAAAAAGAGATAGAAAGGGAAGGGCAGAGTAAAATGGATGCTTGGCATTAACATGATCGGATTTCATCCATATTCAAAACTGCATTCAAAAACTTATAAATTAGAAAGCAAAGTTACAGATCACAAGTGAGAGAACTTTTGGGTCTCACTAGTAATTAGAGCAAAAATGTCCCTTTGATAAGACATTAATAATCTAGTCTCTCGTCTATTACGGTAGATAGAACATACAGCTGTTTGATCCCTGGTTGCTTACCTACTTTGTACAAGTACAAAATTCCATAAATAATATCAACAACAAACAAATACTTCTGCCATGTAGACAAATACCTTAATGATGGCTACAGTCAGATCTAAATACCTACAAAGCATGTCTGTATAAAAGCTCAAACAAATATTCCATTAAATATATAAATATTCACAGGCATGTACATTCCTTACTAGTATTTCATTTATGAAAAAAAAAAAAAAAAAAAAAAATTATCAAAGGCCTCACTCGTTTCTGCAGCAGAGAATCTATGAAGTGTAGGCAGCCAAACTAGAGTTTGTGGTTCAGAAAGCAACCATTGATGAAAATCATCCTGTGTTATGGTTTGTCCCAAAGCCTGTCAAAAGAAAATTCAAACATTGGTAATGATGCTTAAAAGAATGATACGTTATGATAGAGATGGTTACTGAGACCACTTAAGTACCACAATAGATTAACTTTTTATTTCTTAAAATTAGCTTTGTATTGTTGAAAGTATTTCCATAGGAATAATAAATAATTGATTTAAAATTCAGGGAACACATCTAATTCATGAAAGGTTTGTAAAATTTGAAAAGAAGTCATTTAAAGCATGTCCTGCTTTTTTGTAAGTGATTTACTTTCCTAACGGCTAGACCTAAATCACTTGTGTAAGAACATTGAAGATCCATATTGACACTATGAGGTTGTTTAGGGACAAGGATATTTACAGATTGAAAGCAGTCCTCTACAGATGCTGCAACACCTTTTCCAAATGTTTCACTCTCACCAATCATGTTTGTTATCTGTAAAAATAAACAATGTTGACATTAGTTTAAAATGGTGGTTATAAGTAAAGATAAATAGAGATGGAAGAAAATTGATACAAATCAAGCACTGGAGAAATTGAGCGTACAGTTATAAAGCAATTATAGCCATGTAAAATATTACAATTGGCAAGAATGGAATTATTGTTTTTTGCCTTTTTCATGTTTAGTATCTGAAGTTACTGCATACTAATTGTCTCAACTCACAATTTATTCTTTCAAATACATTGGAAAGGGAATCTCAGCTAAATCTTCTCATTTAAAAAAAAAATTGTTGCAATGGTTTTCGGTCTTGAGTAGGCATTATCTCCCTGGAGGTAAATTCTAAAAATGTGAAGATGTTTATTGTTTATATTACTATGAGGAAATAAAGAAGACCAGAAACGGTTATTTTACAACAAAAAACAAAAACAAATCTCCCTGAATAGATTAAATACACTTTAATTTACCTGCGTAACATCATGCATGAATTCTGTCATCATCTTACGGGGGATGCTGCCTGTTTTATTGGCAAGGAGATCTTGGAAATCTGTGGGAGTTTAAAAAATCACATTAATGGGTTTTTGCTATAGCAATTTTTTAAAATCTACAGTTCACATAATAGTACATCTTTTCAGAATGACATCTTTACATATCAATTGAAAACACAGTGTACTACTAAATATGAAGTAAAAAATTATATCAACAGGATAAAGTTGCTAAAAATGAACTTATATGCGATTATGGCCGCTGCCAAAGCAATCTTGTAATTACAGTTTTTTGCCTTAAACACAAACTAATGATTTATTTGCCAGTAATATGTTGCTCATTAATCACTGAAAGTAGGAATGTTATTTTACAGCACCATATTCTGATTCCAATGTAAGTGACAGCATTCCCATTCACAAAATAATAACGCTTAAGGTCCCTTTTGATTTCATACTTAAAACTACATGAAATACTCACATCTGTATTTATCTGTTATGCTTCCAGAACATATGACAGCAATTCCCAACTTGACAGGCAATACTCTTATGCAACCTGTTCTTTGGCTGAAATAAAAGACACATACATGAGACTGTCAACTTGCCATTTGCAACATAATTCATTTTAAAAGATGGCTTTGATCAAATGAATATAGTTGGAAATCAAAACGTTCATATATTTTTACACAGCAATGACACATGATTTTGCTATTTTTTGTTGCTGTATGTATATCAGTATAATAGCCTACAGTATAATATGTTATAATATGTTATAAGATGATGACGTGGATCCTAGTCAAATGATTGGTTAAAGCATACACGTGACCAGGCATTTATTTTGCCTAACACGTAATTTGGATAATGACCGGTCATTAGAAAAATCATGTTATAAAAGATCATTTTATAAAACAAATACAACATAATCTTATGAAACAAATAATACACATCATTTTGCTTGGGCATTAGTAATATTACCCACACTCGTACTTTCAAAACAGTCCAAATACCCTTGGCTTCCGCCGAGTGTGGGTAATTCTTACTAATGCCCTCACTGCTGTGTATTATTTGTATACTAATGCATTCATCAACTTTCATCTCGGCTTGGCATTGGCATAAGCCTAATGACCTTAAGCCATATGAGATGTTACATTTAATGACAAATAAGTAAATCGATATTCACGCTGCCCTAATCACAAATGGAATATAATCTGAGCATCCATTTCTTCATTTCATGACAGAGAAAATACTGCTAAACATGTTGGGTTAATAACGGTCAAAATACTAATTCTAATCAGGTAGGAATATTGCATAAATAGTGAACAATTCAAATTATCATCATTGATTCTTATTGCTATATTATCTTAGGCTAAATAACAATGATCTAAAGTACATAGAACTTGATGACCTCTCACCCCTGTCACATAACTTTTTTGCTTCTATAGGATCTTTTATTGCATTTGTTTTTTAAATGGCTTACACAAATCAAATTAAATTAATCTGCATGATCAAAGATTAGACAGTTTATAGATGTTAGATGCTGCTTGTAAGTATCGGCTTGCATGGTGATGTAGATATACAGTAGGCTTGCGGGTGCACCATGTGAGAGAGAGAGGGAGGACTCCTCAATCATCCCTCTCTCTCTATCACATGGTGCACCCACAAGCCTACTGTATATTTATAGATGTTGTTGCTTACATATCAAACAGATTAAGGAGCCAGTTGAGAAGCAGGTCACTAGATCGATTGACTCTGAGCGTGCTCCTCCCACGAACCTTGGTCATGTGATACATCTCGTTGATGATGTTGTAGAGCTGGACCGCATCCATGACGCTGTCGTTATGGTGACTGTATCCATGGAGCTCAAAAGCCATCCTGACAGTGATGAGGTTTACTACGTCCACTGAGAGAAGGGATAAGAGACATTGACAAATTATTGGCAGTTAGTGAAAGTACTCTCAAAGAAAATTTCTTTTCAATAGATAATTCGTGCACTCTTTACTTAGTTACGACGAAAGCATTTGTGTTAGTAATTGCCTATGCCCTCACGGTGACCATAAGGTAGGAATACTCCCCAGGGAGTGGAGATCGTGCACATTGTGCGTGAATTAATCCGATGACTGGGGTAATAATATCTGTAAAGCGCTAAGAGACTGTATTCCGTATTAATTATAAATCCAGATTATTATTATCTCAAAATGTCATTTTGGTGAAGATTTTATGTTGTGTGACAGGCTGAAGGACGGAAGTATGTTGCATTGTTCTGCTAAACGTTTACATGAATTAATAGATTAAGCACAAGGCTGTTAGCATTCTTGCCTGTAACTTTTAAAAATGTGCTGATTTGATATAAATAACCACTTCAATAAGTTTCTTCATTATTTTTGTGTATAATTCAGTCCATCTGACTTCTCATATCATCACTAGAAAATGTAATTAAGAATGAAACTATTTAATCAATACAATTACAAATGAAGCAAATAACTCCAGAAAAAAGAAAACATTGACTGCTTTCTAAGACTTACTGTGCAAGACTTTTTGTAGCATTCTAAGCTTGGCAGCGGTTCTGTATGCACCAAAGTGTATGTTATCCATTGTACCTAGAAATATACAAAATCAAAACATAAGCTAATTTCAAAACAAAGTTAACACAAAACATACAATGTTTTAAGATTGACATTAGAATTCAGATACACTGAATGGCGAAAGTTTGAAATAAATCAGAAGAATAATGAGAAAATTAAGAATGTTTAAAATATGAAGTCTAGGCGAATCTCAAATTGGCAGTTTGGTAAAGGGATTGTGATATAGTCATGTATAACTCTCACGTTAGTCATCTTCAAAAATATCATTACTTGTTTTTCTTCTCCTAAATGCCTTCTCCCTTGGGGCACTACTCAATATATATTATTACGGATACCATAGTATTATAGATCCTCTAAACTATCATTACAAATAAATCTATTTCTTGGAGTATAATCAAAATAAAGAAAGATACTTACTCAAACTTGAAACAGCAGACACGAGATCTGGATGGTCCCATTGTGTGACCTCGCTGTAATGGCTATACAAATGTGAAAATAACAGACATATATGCACAGGGGAAAACAAAGCAAAAAATGGTAAATGATAGTACCGAGGCTCAGCATAAGGGGGTCTGGGTCTGAATTCCTATGGTCTGTATAAAGATTTTAGGTGTCTTTTAATGTTGAGCCCATGCAATAGTGCGAATAACGAATGTTTCAAAATGTCACTGAAAAAGACAGGCAATGATTTTTACCAAACTTTGGACTTTGATTCAAATTAAACAAAAACAGGAAAGAGTCCCCTTACTGTAGTGAAAAGTATCCCCTTCTAGCAAGTTTTTATGAAAAATCACCTTGATAGTTGTTCAATGAAGGAAAGGTGTATATCCCTAAGTTCTTGATTTTTATTAAACTGCTAAAATTATTCTGATATAGATTCAGAACAATGAAAGTTCAGCTTAATAATAATAATAATAATAATACACAATATTTATAAGGCGCTTAATACTGGTGTCTCTTAATATTAATATTGAAAATACATCACGAAATTCCTGTAGCAGTAGCAGAAGTTAGTAGCAGCAGCAGCAGCAGTAGTACCTAGTATAGTAGTATCGTCATCATATCATGGGTATAGCCTTCTATGAAAAAAAAATTATACTTACTTGATGTAATAAGGTATTCCATTGCAAGTCTCACTTTTACTCCACTTATTTTCCATTGTTTGTTCTAAATATCCACATCACCCAGTCTATCTGTAGTCAATAACATATGAGGAAAAAAAGGGGTTCAAGTTTAAAGCAAAGTTTTACTCAATCTTAATTTGCCTTTCATATATTTTCTAGGGTTGAATTTATGAACAAATATGACATGTATATATGTATATAGTATATATGTCTCATCTTGAGCACTGTTGACAAACTTTCAAATAAAGTGGAATATTTAGTGATTTACCGCAGTGAACATTCCTACAATGCACGAGGCCCAACCTGTACGGTATACCTAGTACTACTAGTACCAGTGGCATACGCAGGATTTCTTCAAGGAGGGTGTTTGTTTTTCTGAGACATTACGGTAAATAACTTCACACAGGCGCGCGCCCGCCCGCAACCCACCATCGGTATGCACTTGTATTGTGTAGCGGTTTGCCGTGAAACCTGTGAAAAAGTGTAGATGTAGGGTAGCACGCCTGGTATTCGGTCAGACAGCCGTTTCAACAGCTGTAAGAATTTTTTTTAAAATTTATGAGCCACAAAACTTGCACAAATCAGGCAGCTGAACAATTTTTCTTAACTCTCAAAATTAGATCAGGTATAGTATAGGGCCCCGAAAAGATCTCCAACTTAACTCAAAATTGGTCAGTGTCGTACAACTTCCTGCACTTCCGCGTTCTGTTAGCACATGCGCTAACATGCATAGCCATGCAAATGTAGAAGTCTTTTGCGAAACACCTACGAGTGCTGTCGCAATGAATTTAGTATGTGTGTGAAGAGGAGCTCTTCCGTGTTCGCTCCATTGCAGACGCACTTGCCGATGTGCAAGAGGTATTTATACGATACCCTTGACATGCGGTAGTGCTCGTCCAGTATTCGGTCAACGCATTTACATTCAGTGCCCTGTCGTGCGATTGTGTGAAAATAGTGCGCAAATACGCTTCGCTCCTAGGCAACGGAGATACCACGCACACATCGTGTGAATGAATTCAATTCGGCGCGACCGAATTCTGGGCAGAAAAATGCTGTCTTCTTACAGAAATATTTTGCTTATCATCATTCTATATTTTAAGTGACTATAAAATCCTGTTAGAGGAATAATTTTCTTTTCTTTTGATGGGTAGATTGCCAAATAAAAGAGGTAAGAATTCAAAATATTAGTGATTTCCCCTTAAGACAGTAATGGTCCACCTGCACACCCCAATCAGGCCGAGTATATGGCATCTGCAAGAATCTTCAGTATTGAAGGAGGCAGATTATCTTGAAGAAGGAAGGAAGGAAGTGACTGAATACCGGGCGCGCTACCCTATAGATCTAGGCCTAACGTTAGATCTAGATCTATCAACGTTCTTCCAAAAAAATACTCCAAAAATTATAAGAAAATTGACACGAAACAGGTAATAAACATAACGAATTTTAACTCATGATCTTTATTTGGACATTTAATGAATATTTACTTCATTTTGGGTATGTTTTAGTAGGGTATCTCCACGCCGGATTTACGGGTCAAATTTTGGATAGGTTTTCTGAACAAGCGCCGCTCAGCTCCGCCGCCGCGCCGGAGCTCCCTAGAGTTAGGCTTTCATTAAACTTAGTATATCATATGGGACCGTAGGAATATATTGACGTATCGTTTATCAGTCAGATTTCATACCAATAACACACGTATACCTGCTGGAAATACCGTATAACATTTAATCTAAAAATAAAGTGTCTAAATATGAACTAGAAATATCACAATCGTTATTTACCGATAAATATCAGTGATTCTTGAGCTCTAGTGTAAGTGGCACAGTTCGAACTCTCATTCCGATCCCGCGTCGCTCGTATCTACGATACCGATATCAATTGGGCGTGGCGCCCGCCCCCCCCCCCCCCCCCCCTCCCCTAACAAAAATGGGAAGAAACTTTGAACCGCATAATAATAGGAAACCATCGAAAAAGTAGCTTCATTAATTCCGGTTCGAATTATTCATTGTCTGTCAAACCTTCAAATTAAATACACGTATTAGGAAATGTCCCACCCGATGGTCCTACGTTATTGAATTCGAATGTCGAACAAAAAGGGCTCCCCAGCCGGTATTGTTATATCCTACTAATCTCTATAGGCCTAATACTACATGTATTTTTTTTTTCCTGTCCCGGTTCATGGAAGGGTGTAGAATCAAGGGAACATAGTGTCAGGGGCCGGGAACCGACTTTCCTAGGTGAAATGTGAGGAGATGGTGTCGGTGGGGCGTTTCTATTTTTTTCATTTTTGCTTCCATCTCTCCCTTCCTTCCCTCCTCTCTATCTCTATCTCTCTCTCTCTCTCTCTCTCTCTCTCTCTCTCTCTCTTTTCTCTCTCTATGATATATATATATATATATATATATATATATATTTATCTCCAAATGTCCCCTTTTCGCCATTCGGCGCAGTTGCTATAAATGTACGCCCTACGCCACTAAATCTCGCCAGAGACCGTGGGGCTGCAGCAAAATAACCTTTATGTCATTAATGGATGACCCCAATGAGAGGTATATCTTTATCCGAGATTTACATTTTATCTTATCTCACTAGTTTATTCGTGATAGAAAAAATTCGAATAGAAGTCAAATAACAAGATAAAGAGGAACTGAAACTGAGAAACTTGACTGCAATTGAGGACATTGAATTCACGATAATCAAGTCAGTTACAGAACGACCTGTGTGGCTGGATCGTGATCATGAATACTCATGTCAGTAAATGCAGGAAGAAAATGAATTAAAAAAAAGGTTGAAATACATATATACAGTTTATATAAATGAACAAAGAGCAAAGAGTATGCAAATTTTTCTTATATCAGGCTAATAAGTTTGCCCGTACATTTTATCTTGTCTTTTCCAGTATTTCTTTCACCGTCGATAGCAGGGGCATACGGGGGGGGGGGGGGGGGGGGGGGGGGGGGGGGGGGGGGGGGTTCAAACCCCCCCTTTTGTATTTTTATGTGTGTAAATCCCCCTAAAAAAACCTAACCCCCCCCCCCCCTTTGGATTATTATTATTATTTTTTTATTTTATTATTATTTAAAAAAAAAAAAAAAAAAAATATATATATATATATATATATTATATATATATATATGCCCATGGCTAACCTAAAAAAGGTGACCTTACCCCCCCCCCAACGTAGAAAAATGTCAAATTTTCAAATTTCGAGACCAAAAAAAAAAAAAAAAGGGGGTTCAAACCCCCCTTTTGTATTTTTATGTGTGTAAATCCCCCTAAAAAAAAACTAACCCCCCCCCCCTTTGGATTATTATTATTATTATTTTTTTTTTTTATTATTTAAAAAAAAAAAAAATATATATATATATATATATATAATATATATATATATATATATATATATGCCCATGGCTAACCTAAAAAAGGTGACCTTACCCCCCCCCCCCCCCCAACGTAGAAAAATGTCAAATTTTCAAATTTCGAGACAAAAAAAAAAAAAAAAAGTGTCCGCTTACCCCCACCCCCCCCCCCCCCCCCCCCCCCCCCCCCCCCCCCCCCCCACTGAGCAACTTTTCAGCTGGCTGAAAAAAGAGTGTCCGCTTACCCTGTGATGATTAATAACCCTACATTTTACAATGATATTTGTCAGTTATGGAATTTTCATTAATTTCTGAAACAATGGCAGTTCCACTGTTACAGGACTCCACATCACCTATTGCTTGTCTATCTACCCAGGGTCATGATCTGTCTATCGTCCTTTCTAGTCGCCAATGCCATGCTATCACAGGATGTGAGCACTGGTGGTATTGGTAGTGTGTACGTGCCTGGATTAGTGACCATGACTTAACTTACCTCCTGAAAATGACAGAATATTAAAATGACAGTTGTGGGAAGAGAGAGGAGATAAACTGTGAAGTCAAGAACAAAAGACGAAATGAGAGGGAGTGGGGCTGGGTTAGTTCAGATGATATTGAAAACTTGAGAATAAGTTTCAGGATGATGATGATACCGAGAGCGACTCAGAGTGGTGAACTGGGGGAGGGGGCAGCGTACTTGCCCTTCATCTCATAAGTTGCTGATTGTTGATTGGTCAGAGACAATGATTTTTTATTTTTATTTTTTATTTTTTTTAATAATAAAAATGACAGAATAAAGACAGTTGTGATGAGAAGAAGAATGAGATAGGAAAGAAGTTGGTGCGCAGAAAGAGCGCCAGCTTGTATTCACTGAGTCTCATCGCATCCCCACATCATTTTGAAAGGGTTCGATCTACAGAGAGTTAAAGTGGGACAAAATTCCTCCATACATAAACTCTGATGCTGCTATCCGTGTTACAACCCCCATCACCACTCTACCACCGCCACCACTATCACCACCAAAACCATCACTAACACCAACATCACCACCACTACCACTATCACCACCAACACCAACATCAACACCATCACCACCATCACCAACACCACCCCCGCCGCTATCTCCACCACGATCACCACCAAAACCAAAATCAACACCAAAAACACTACCACCACCACCACTATCAAAACCAAAATCAACACCGCTATCACCACCAACACCATCACTACCACCGCCATCATGCACCAACACCAACACCAACACCATCACCACCACCATCACCAACACCACCAACGCCGCTATCACCACCACCATCACTATCAAAACCAAAATCAACACCGCTATATAACACCACCACCACTATCAAAACCAAAAACACCACCACCACCACCAAAACCAACAACCGTGCACCACCACCACCAACACTATCACCAACATCATCATCATCACCACCACCACCACCACCACCACCACCACCACCACCACCACCACCACCCCACCACCACTATCACTAAATAATCCTCTAAAATGTTAATGATGCACTGTTCTTTTTTTCCATTCATATTTTTCGTTCTCTCATCATGTAACCTCATCGATTTTGTGTCATTCATGTAATTTTCCTTCTGATTTTAACGTGTGATGTCATAGTCATTATTCTGGGGAAACAAAAATATTTAGGAGGGAGAAAGAGTCAGAATACAACAACAAGTTGACGCGCAATTACCGGGTATATCGTACTTTATTATCCATACATATTGAGAATTGTCATTAAAGTTTGCAAAATGTGTTTCCGTTAATTGTTGTATTTTGCTTTCATAACCAGGACCTGGGAATTCCACGGCAGTTATGATGGCCCAGTCAATATCCCTGGTCTTTGACCGACATTTTGCACTTTTTATCATTACATGTAAATATACAGTAGTTTTAAAAAATGAAGACTGGAAAGAGCATACCGCCCCAAATTCATAACGCCGCGCCGGTTTGCAAAATGAATTAACATCCCATGTTATTAATTTCTATTAATATAGATGAATGCCTTGTTCATAAACTAATTCATCACATTTTGGTCAAGTTTTTTCCTCTTCCCTCGCTTAATTATATTGGGACACGTAACCATAGCAACAAAAAATACCTCAGTTCAGAGGCACCCCCGCGCATCCCCTCTCCAACTTTATCTTCTTTGTCCTTTTACATCTTTTTTTTTTAATATGTCTCAAACATAATCCTTATACAGTTGAATTCTCTTGTTGATAATATGAAAATTGTTATCTACAGCAGACTAATCAGAAACCTTGTCCAGTCCAAATGGTTGCGATAAACAAAGGAAATAGAAACTAACCTGTATAAGCATAGAGCAGGAAATGACCTTCTGAAGTCCCTTTCGAAAGATAAATAGAACTCCTAAAAGCGCTAAATTGTATAGTCGATGTTATTGATATATTTGAATAGGCCTCGTTTTGCTACTTGAGCTGATGAAAGGAAAGTTTTCATCGAGACTATTTTGATGAGTAATCAAAAGTGGGAACAATAATAAAGAGAAAGAAAGTGAGCATTTTTGAAAGTCTCAAATTGGCTTGTTTTGTTTTTCTTCTGTATTCTGATTTTAAGATATATCAAAATAGAGGTGCTGTGGTCTAGTGGATATGTCACGGGAATGCGGATCACATGGTTTGCGGTTCAAGTCCCACCGCGATACTGATGTCTTTTGGCAAGACACTGAATCTACATTTGCCACTCTCCACCCAAGTCTTAAATGGGTACTCGGTAGGATGCGAACGTTAATGTGGTTGGATTGGATTGTGTGCGCTTGTAAAATGGCGCCTGGCCGGAATATTCCCCAGAGAGCAGAATGCGTGTACTATCATGTGCAGATTAGCAATCGAATCCAATGACTAGGGTAATAATGATTTCAATGCAAATTGCTTAGATACGCTATAGAAATGATTATAATATGAGAAGAGAAGACCTCTATACTTGGAACAAGTTCACCTTGTTATACAGTAAAAGAACATTCAAAGGATTTTTTTTTAATTAAAGAGAGAATGAGGGCTTACGAGAGATTAAGAGTGGGTAAACAAGAAATTCAGATAGAGGGTAGGGGAAGAATAAAGAGATGAAGATAAAAGGGTATAATTAGAGAGCCCGGAAAGGCGGGAGATACTTAGAGGGTCAATGACCAAAGATAGAAATAATTGTCATCATCAACAAAAAGTAAGATATTGATGCTTAACTTGATAAAGTGATTAAATAATTTTAATGTGCCGAAAAATTAATAAACCTGTAAGGCTATCAACAAGGGAAGTTATCATTTATTTGTTTTTGTCATGTGGATTAGGCCCGTCGTTGGGCCATTAAACCGGGGTCATTGTCCGAAACAGTATGAAACGGTCACGTTGATTGAGGATGCCTCGAAATATTAACTTTGCCTTAACTAACCCTGTATAAGATTACTCCACAAAACTATAAGAGCATATTTTGTGGAGTAATCTTACAGGGTTAGTCCTGTGAT